ACACCTCGGTCTGCTCCATCATGTTGGATCCGTAGAGGCCAAGAGCGGGAGCCACTCGGGCCAGGTACCGACTGATAGAGTTGGTGTCATTGAACTGGATCGCACTGAGGAAAGGAAAGAGAACAGAGTAGAAATTAATTAGACCATTCTAATCCTATAGCACACATACCTTCTACATATGATATTTAAAAAAGGAACACTTCAACCATTTAAATTATCATTTTCATATCAGCAACTCACAATGTGTTAGCTTTAACTCTTTAATTTCTAAGCTTATTTTTTGGCCAGTTTAGCCTTTATTACCATGTGTAGAGAGTCAACGGGCCGGATTTGAACCAGTTTTTTGTTTGTTTTTATTTGTATTCATATGTGATTGCCTCAGTATTTTATATGCAAGTCCGCTATTTTTACTCTTGCCTTTTATCTGTTTTGTTAAAACTGTAAATATCTCTGCTGCGGGACGGATAAAGAATTTCTGATCTGATTTCGCTCCAGCAGGGACTAAGCCCTAGGACAGGGGTGGGGAACCTTTTTCCTCTCAAGGGCCATTTCAATTTTTACAATATCCTCAGAGGGCCGTACAAATTATTGACATCTGTTTAAAAAAAAAAAAAATCACAGCCCATTCACTTCATTCTGTGCAAAGAAAAAGCAACCTCTTAATCCAGATATCTCACCATGACTCGCGTATGCATGCACGTGCACTGTGTGGCGTGACCACCAAAACAGAAAGATATGGACACAAGATGTGTGCAAATGTATTTAGTTTCCTATCCATGTGAACATGATTTAAGTGGGGGGGACCTAACCTCCTCTAGGGGGGTCCGGGGGGCATGCTCCCCCGGGAAGATGTGTTTTTAAATCTTGAAGTTAAAAACATCAATCTGGTGCACTTTGAGAGCAACATTAGTAGATCTATGGATACATCTCTCAGCACCCAGATGAAACAGAACTGGAAGCAGATTTATTTTTCTTTATGAATATTTGACAAATCACTCTCCTTTCAAACTGTATTCTTCTTTATTAATAACAACTTTTTTTTACTGTCATATAGTATTTTATACCTGTTTACTTTATTCTCTTATTTTTTTATAACTATAATGATCATATAAAGATGTGCCTTTACCTCACTGGTTGTAGAAAAAGCTTCTTATATTCGTTAGCATAGCTAGCTAACCAGATGCTAATAACAACAACGTTATTGACTGTATGATCAGTATGACAGATGAACAGATCGCCACTGGGCTTTCAACTAAAGACACAGACACGCAGAAACTGCGGCATGTGTAAGGCTCCTTATCGGTACTGCAATTTCTGAAGTGGCGTTCTGGTGCTCTCCGTCAGAACTGCACCCCTGTCAGTCGAGACATATACCACGTGATGACACGTTAGGCTCGTGTTGTGTTCAGCAACAACATGACCTTGGCCAGGAAAAACAGGCACTCGCTTGTTTAATTTTTTTGCGGTCTAGATTTCTTACTTTTTTGCGTGTGTTTATAAATTATCTCGAGGGCCGTACCAAATTGTCTCGCGGGCCGTATACGGCCCGGAGGCCGGAGGTTCCCCACCCCTGCCCTAGGACATGGGCACCAGTTTACCAAGTAATGTATGCGGCAGTTGCTTTAATTCTTAATTCTCACTGTTGACAAACAATCCAAAAACCTTCTTGATCAAATTATGTGAAAAAGGATTGGTTAGCAAAAGCAAGAATATATCAAAACATCAAAAATAAAAACTCCCACACAACTTGTGCAGTATAATCTCCATTACTTAGCATTTCAATCACCCTAGCATAAACGGAAAATAGCACGCCTGCGCAAACTGTTGATGCAGAAGGCTTTAAAATAAGTAGGGTTTATCAAAATATATTCACATGTTTGGAAAACAGTAATCATTGAGATTTGGAGTATACTGCATACGTTGTTTTTTCTGTGAGAGTTTGGTTTTTAACCCCATTTAATTCATTTCATAAAGAATGGCATGCGAGAAAATGTTTTCTTCACAAACTCAAGAGTAACAAGAGGTGAGATATAAAAATATTGAAAGTATTACTTTAAGCACATTCAGCAGTTTGAAAAAATGGTGCTACCTACTCAGAGACTTGAAGCCGGGTGTCTTTGCCTTCCTCCACTGATAACTGCACACTGGCCTTCACATGCTCTGCTGCCAGAAGCGCTCCTGCAGGGTAGAGGAAACAATTTAGTGTTTTGATAGTTGTGACTGGGCGTAAAAGAATAAACCAACTGCATCTAGAAAGATTATGTTAAAAGGCACCTGGATGTTTTGTATTCTTTAAATAGGTTTGGCCCCTCTATCTAAAGGTGACTTGAGTGCAACATAACAACCTGTATGACTGCAGGCAATCTTCACAGAACATTTGTGAACCAGTTGAACTGGTCCTCTACACTGCAGTGTTTTATGTGACCTGCCCCTTTCGTAGAAGTACTGCTTTCCTAAAACTGTGGTTTTCAACATGTCAGGACTCAAGAGTCTTTGCATAAACATTCTTGTAATGCCATGGACTTAATATCAACACATGTAACGGGTTTTCTACAGAAGAAAACAATTGACCAAGGCTGCCCAGTATTACACTTTTAAGGTCAAGTGCTGGTGTTAAAACGAAAATAAACCAGGTTGCAAAAAATTAATAAAAAAATAACATTTCCAATACAACCTTCCACGTTTCAGCTGCTTGCATCAGCCTGCTGTACTCTGTATACACGCAAGAGGCGCTATTACCCGCTGTCAAAGCTAGTGGGTTAGTTCATTGTAGTACAAAGCAATGGCATACTAAACTCAGGAAAGCCTTGTTCTGAATGTATTTAACACAGAATACTTTCCAATATCAATAAAATATGTCAAGTTTCAACGCTAGATACTTTTTATAGACATGTAACTAAGTATGTATTTACCTAAACCGACTAGCTCAGCTAACCTTTTAGCTAGTGTCATCGTGTCAACTGCTCGTAATAAATGTGTGTTATTTGGTCATGTGCATTTCCAAGCTCGTGATGACTTTTTGCATGGGTATATGCATGCCATAGTGAACGTTCAAATGTGGAATATTAACATTTAAAGGTAGCTGCTGTCATTAAAAAGGACATGTTAACGAACTGTCCACATGCTGTGTTTCAGTGCCACGACGGCAAGCTTGCTAACGTTAGCTTGTTAGCTAACTACACACCCAGTTTGAACTTATAAGGACATACTGCCATACAGACGTAGCCTTTATTGCAAAAATAAACAACTTGGCTGGTTCCAAACTCATTCCATTGTTGAGTTGCAAATATTAGCCATGTTATTTTGCTGGTTTACAACTTCTAATAATAATATTAACTTTCAATATTGTATTTCAATGGGTCTGTGTCTTCATATCTTCTGAATCAAGCAAATCCTAGCAACTGGTCAATTGTCTCACTTTATAAGAGATAGTTATAGCTATATTATTATTACATACGATGAAAAAACATTGAGGGAGAGTTTATAAATATAGTTTGTCTCGTTTGTTGGGGTGACACGTAACAGTGCTAGCTAGTCAGCTGTCACTACATTCATGCACAGGACTCAAAGAGCAAGTATTCAGGCTGCAACTCACCTAGAGGCGGATTGCTCGTGTTGATGGTGAGGTTTAACGCCATGATGTGAAATCCTTCTTCCACAAAGGTGGTAAAGCCTTTTCACAAGAAACCTAACAGCAGACAGCCAAGACTACTCTCCACAGCGAGCAGCACCCCGGGGATCCAGAGTCTGAGCAGCAGCAAAGCATGAGAGGATGGGACTTCTTTTGTTTTTGTGACTGCTAACCAACCACTTATTGCTGCAACACTGCCACCAACTGTTCAGGAGCTGAACACACAGACACAAAACACGAGCACAAACCAGGAGCCTCCGGGACTCTTTCATTCTGGGGCCCCATTATTTTTTATTTTAAGTTGTTAACTTAATGTTTGCTTTTTGGATTTTACGTTTGTTTGTTTTTCAATTCAATACTCTCCCGTTGTTCTTCTGGTCCTAATCAGCCGTCTATCTGAACGTGTGCCCACAGTGAAAATGTAGGTTTATTCTGGATATACATTTTTGACTTACATCCTTATCGATATTATTGTTACTGCTTTTGTGGAGAAATAGCGACCACTTGATGGAAGCTAATGGGAATCATAGAAAATAAATGAACATTGTGCTCATCACATTCCTGTTCATCATTCCTTGACAAAAAATTGACCATTGCCATTCAAAGGAAAAAGTGGGAGAATTCATAAGGCTGGGCTAGTGGGCTTTATGGGAAAAAAATTGTATTTACTCATAAATGTAAAGTTGACTTATGTGTAATTTCTTGAACATGTCCTTCTCAAAACCCTTTACACTTTCACTCCGCTACAGTTCAGTATGTTTTATTCCAATACATTTATCTGACAGCTTTATGTAAGGTTACACGATGTTTGCATACAAAAACATTATAACAGTTTATAAAATGGTGATGTTATCTGATGAATTAAACTAACCAACAGTTTGGACAACTAATGCTGAAACTATATTGTCGATGAATTAAGTAATTATTGATGTAACAAACATGTTATATTTCAATCTTTTCAAATGTAAAAATATTCAGCTTTTCCTTTTCATAATTGTTATACATTTTAAATTAAGTTTAGGTTATAGTTGTGATCATGACTTTTCACTCTTTTAACTATTCTTATAAACCAATCAAATGATTTAGGAATACTTCAGCTACATTTTCCTAATTGTTCTTGCCTATTGAACTTAAATAACATTACAATTAATGACTAATACTTGTTTTCACACTGTGGTATGAGTACTTTTATTAAAGTACATCTTCTGATTAATTTCTCCACCACTGTAGTTATATGTACGAAAGTGTAAAGCCTGCCACAACCATGTCATTCATTGTATGTACGTCATGGACTGAAGCCAAAGATCTCGCGATACTTGTGGTGCTATAAAAGCCCATCCGCGGCCTTAAATCGGTCTTTCTTTCTCCCCCTTTAACGGTGAAGGTGCAACAGTAATCGGTCGTCCCGAGCCCGGGTTCATCCGACACCCTCACGCAAGCTGAACTCAACCAACACGCAACATGCCTCCCAAATTCGACCCCAGCGAGGTTAAAGTTGGTATGTTTTCAGTGTTACCTGGGTAATAAAAGCAGAGTCTTGTTCACAGCAAGATGGAGTCGTTCTCTGACGGCTGTCTCCGTGTCTGCCGGCCTGTGAACGGCCTAAAGAAAACGGTAAAGTTGGGGCACGAAATGCGACGAGAAACGGCGAAATAATTGACTTTTATTATTGCAGGCTTAAATTATATTTTCCAGTTACTGTGAGTGATTTGTGACGGGGTTTGCCAGTGTGTGTGGGCTACATGGGAACCACGTGCTAGAGTGCTAGCTAATGTTAGCTGCATTAGCTAATTTACCTTGCCTCGTAACCTTATTTGACTTGTTTGAATGTATTCATTTGTTTTATGGACTAATTTTAAAATGACTTATTGCAGCAAGTAATGTTGATGCTTTTGATTTACAGTTCCTTTTTGCGAATTATAGCCTGAAGGGTTTTACAAATGACGATGCGGCTGCCCATTATTGTAAATACACTTTCATATTGTATTGCGTCCTACTGTCTTGATTTGATTTATCAAGATATTATAGCAATTTTGGTTATTCGTATACTAAAAAACTAAGTGATTGGATTTGTAAATGTTCTCATCTCAGGGAGATTATAATATGATAACAATGAGTCTTGTATCATAGGAATATAGATCGTGTTTTGCTTCAATTTGGTGTGATCGGTCAATATTGGACGTGTATGTTGCATTTAACATTAGTGAGCGAGGTGTGAATAGAGTTAAATTGCTCTAGTCGATGTTTGGGACTCACTTCCAAATCCACCCCTGTTCCCAGAATGATTCCTGTTGAGCTTTATTACTTCAGATGGCAAAATGTGATGTTTCTCTAATACAATATGGGACATTCATTTTGTTTTACAACATATACTATGCCAAATTAAGACTAAAGTGGACTACTAAACACCATGTCCTTCGCTGCTGACCATGACATAGTTAATTGATAGACGAGCTATTATTTCTATGCATCAAATAGTGGCGTCAACATGTGGCCATTAGGGCAATATTCCTGTCTTTTAACCAACATTACTAGTAAGGTTGTCAGCCTCCCGCCACTATGCCTGTCTGTCAGAGTGACTGAGTATAATCCAGTGGAGGCTAAGAGTGACCCGGCTTTAGGAAACAGGGATGCCCGAAAACCATGGACAACTTTGTGCCGAAAAGACTGGAACAAATAAACCTGCAACAGGACCTGTTTACTCACTTGTCAGTACGTTTTGTGGACAAGCCCTAATTGGATTGTGCTCAGTGTCTCTTCTTTTTCTTGCAGTGTACATGAGATGCACTGGAGGAGAGGTTGGAGCAACATCAGCCCTGGCCCCCAAGATCGGACCCCTGGGTCTGGTGAGTGTGAAATAGAAATGCATCTTGGTTTAAAAACTATATCAGCTTCCCGCCACTATGCCTGTCTGTCAGTGGCTGAGTATAATCCAGTGGAGGCTAAGATTGACCCAGCTTTAGGAAACAGGGATGCCCGAAAACAATGGACAACTTTGTGCCGAAAAGTCTGGAACACAAACTGAGGATGGCACAGCTATAATGCATAATTATCTTTTGAAGTGTTTTTTTATTTTTATTAGTGGTACATTTTTAGCACCTTTTGTGTGGGTGAAGTTTAAATGTTTTTTTTTTCCTTTCATCAGTTGTAAGCTTCTCAACCACTTTGTATTTTCCTCAACAGTCTCCCAAGAAAGTTGGTGATGACATTGCCAAGGCCACCGGTGACTGGAAGGGCCTGAGGATCACTGTGAAGCTGACTATCCAGAACAGACAGGCAGCGGTATGTCAATATGTCCAAACTGCAATATCTATACATTAACAACAATGATGTGGAGGTAATAGGATGACTGGCAGTAGTCATGACTGTTCTGTTTTATCATTGCTTTCCTAAGGTTGAGGTCGTTCCCTCTGCATCTGCTCTGATCATCAAGGCTCTGAAGGAGCCTCCTCGTGACAGGAAGAAGGTCAAGAACAGTAAGTGACCTTCTTTAGAAAAGTATTAAAAAGCACAAATATTGATTTAAAGTTCATTGACTCATTGCTCCCCTCTTCTGCTTTACAGTCAAGCACAGTGGGTCTGTAACCTTTGAGGAAATTTTGACCGTCGCTCGCACAATGAGGCCTCGCTCCATCGCCAGAGAGCTCTCTGGTAAGAAATAAATCTCTTAACTCTGAATTATACTTCTAACATTTGAAATGCAAGTTGGCCAATTTATAAAGAGGTGCAGGAATGAGTCTTAAAACCCTGAAACTCTTCCACATCAGGTCCCCTAGTCTGTCATTTATTTTTTGTCTTTTCACATTTTGTTCTACGGTGTAAAATATGTCAGATTACTGGCACTGATTTTTACCTCTGACCTTATTTACGCTTCAAAGATAACAGTTGTGTTAACATGTGGGCATTAAAGCAAACATTGCTGTCTTTTAACCATTACTAGTAAGGTTGTCAGCCTCCCGCCACTATGCCTGTCTGTCAGAGTGACTGAGTATAATCCAGTGGAGGCTAAGCGTGACCCGGCTTTAGGAAACAGGGATGCCCGAAAACCATGGACAACTTTGTGCCGAAAAGACCGGAACAAATAAACCTGCAGATTTGATCAGTTATTTCAACATGTTGTGAATAGCTATGAGCTGTAAACTAAATGACTGGTTTATGGTCTTGTAAAACTTTTGACAATATGTATCGTCTCCCTCCAGGAACCATCAAAGAGATCCTCGGTACCGCGCAGTCTGTCGGCTGCACCATTGATGGTCGTCATCCCCACGATGTCATCGATGATATCAACGGCGGCAAAATCGAGTGTCCATCCGAGTAAATGCGTGACACCAATAAAGTGTTCACAAATGTAACTCTTTGTGTGGCACCTTTTTTACACTATTCATGCTCATGATGCATACACTCTGGGAAAGTATATCAATTACTGAACCATGTCACTTGTAATGCTGCAAAAATATTACAGAGCCTTAACTATAGCCTTAGAACTTAACTGCTTTAACAACTCTGACGATTGTATACACTTGGTTGGGGACATTTTTGTCAACATGACCTGCCATTTGAACAGTGCTGTGTACAAAGTAGTTGGTCAGATTGTAAAAGAAGTTCCTAGGAGTTAAGTTAACCATTTTAAATGTTGGATATTGTGGTTTATTGATCCCATATTGGGAAATGTTTTCCTTGCAGCAGTATAAAAATGTTGCATTGCTCACAAGTAAAAAATAAACAATTCAAAATTGAAATAACACTGCATTTAAAAGTAGAAAATATACAGTAGACTGAAGATAAACTGACAAAACACTATTGGCCCTTCGATAGTGTGTTATAGGTTAGAGCTGTAATGGGCTGTAATAAAGTGTTTTTATTTTAGAATTGTTTCTGTCACAGAAATATAAAATTGGTCCGTGACGCAGAGATCAAGGAGCAGATGTGACGGCGGCACAGCGACGCCACACATGGAGCAGTCAGCTTTCTCCAGCAACACCAGTCCAGAACCAACGGCAGAATGACCCGCTCTGAATCAGTCCGCGTCGCTGCGGCACAGACACACAGCAGGGATTTGTGTTTTTGAAAAACACTCGTTATCGTAATGTCAGATTTTTGGTGGATTTAATCAAGTCTTGGATTGCAGAATATGAATGTCCTCTTGCTATTTTCAGTTGATGAATACGTGTAAAGTTTGTGAAGGCAGGAGGAAAGCTTCCGCGATCACCGTCTCCTCTCCGTTCATCCAAACCCCGCCCCCTCCTGAAAAATAACTACTAATAAGAGTGACGGGCTGATAGTGACCTGATAGAAACTTTATTATTCACTTAATCACTGATTGAGATGATGAAGCTAACTTAATCTCATACATTTATGGGATTCATGTAACAGTAAGACAGAATGTAAGTGTATGCTGTTGTAAATACTCCTGTTGTCTGCTGTGTTCAGACTTACAGTGGGCCAAAAAAGTATTTAGTCAGCCACCAATTGTGCAAGTTCTCCCACTTAAAAAGATGAGAGAGGCCTGTAATTTTCATCCTAGGTACACTTCAACTATGAGAGACAAAATGAGAAAGAAAATCACATTGTCTGATTTTTAAAGAATTTATTTGCAAATTATGGTGGAAAATAAGTATTTGGTCAATAACAAAAGTTCATCTCAATACTTTGTTATATACCCTTTGTTGGCAATGACAGAGGTCAAACGTTTTCTGTAAGTCTTCACAAGGTTTTCACACACTGTTGCTGGTATTTTGGCCCATTCCTCCATGCAGATCTCCTCTAGAGCAGTGATGTTTTGGGGCTGTCGCTGGGCAACACGGACTTTCAACTCCTTCCAAAGATTTTCTATGGGGTTGAGATCTGGAGACTGGCTAGGCCACTCCAGGACCTTGAAATGCTTCTTACGAAGCCACTCCTTCGTTGCCCGGGCGGTGTGTTTGGGATCATTGTCATGCTGAAAGACCCAGCCACGTTTCATCTTCAATGCCCTTGCTGATGGAAGGAAGTTGTCACTCAAAATCTCACGATACATGGCCCCATTCATTCTTTCCTTTACACGGACCAGTCGTCCTGGTCCCTTTGCAGAAAAACAGCCCCAAAGCATGATGTTTCCACCCCCATGTTTCACAGTAGGTATGGTGTTCTTTGGATGCAACTCAGCATTCGTTCTCCTCCAAACACGCCTAGTTGAGTTTTTACCAAAAAGTTCTATTTTGGTTTCATCTGACCATATGACATTCTCCCAATCCTCTTCTGGATCATCTAAATGCTCTCTAGCAAACTTCAGACGGGCCTGGACATGTACTGGCTTAAGCAGGGGGACACGTCTGGCACTGCAGGATTTGAGTCCCTGGCGGCGTAGTGTGTTACTGATGGTAGCCTTTGTTACTTTGGTCCCAGCTCTCTGCAGGTCATTCACTAGGTCCCCCCGTGTGGTTCTGGGATTTTTGCTCACCGTTCTTGTGATCATTTTGACCCCACGGGGTGAGATCTTGCGTGGAGCCCCAGATCGAGGGAGATTATCAGTGGTCTTGTATGCCTTCCATTTTCTAATAATTGCTCCCACAGTTGATGTCTTCACACCAAGCTGCTTACCTATTGCAGATTCAGTCTTCCCAGCCTGGTGCAGGTCTACAATTTTGTTTCTGGTGTCCTTTGACAGCTCTTTGGTCTTGGCCATAGTGGAGTTTGGAGTGTGACTGTTTGAGGTTGTGGACAGGTGTCTTTTATACTGATATCAAGTTCAAACAGGTGCCATTAATACAGTTAACAAGTGGAGGACAGAGGAGGCTCCTAAAGAAGAAGTTACAGGTCTGTGAGAGCCAGAAATCTTGTTTGTTTGTAGGTGACCAAATACTTATTTTACAGAGGAATTGACCAATTAATTCATTAAAAATCCTACAATGTGATTTCCTGGATTCTTTCCCCCCATTCTGTCTCTCATAGTTGAAGTGTACCTAGGATGAAAATTACAGGCCTCTCTCATCTTTTTAAGTGGGAGAACTTGCACAATTGGTGGCTGACTAAATACTTTTTTGCCCCACTGTAAGTCATGTGTGTGATGTCTCATTCAGGACATTCAGTGTCCTTTTTTTAACAGAAGACCGTTGCTTGAAGCTGCAGCTAGACTGCAGAAGTATTAGTTTTTTGTTTTTGAGGATGGAAAAATGTCACACAGAGATATAGGGAGGCTAGACCTATACAGTTGATTAATTATGGTTTATAACTTAATGTCAAGACGAAGAAGAAGAAAATATGGCTGCACTGTTCAGTGTCAATCCTATGGAGATGGAGATCGAGGTTATAAATCTCCAAAATAATGTTCAGCTGACGTCTCAGCAAAACTCACAACATTTCTGGAGCCTTGTAGACCCAGAAAACTATAAGAACATCACCAAGCAGCACTGAACACGTCTGCTTTATTTGGCTCTACATCCCTTTGTGAAGCAGCTTTTTCTGACATGAATGTCATGAAATCTAAATACAGAACAAGACCGACTGATGAACATGTAAATGACTCTATTAGAGTGAACCTACGTGGGTACACTCCAGCATACACCTCTATGGTGGACTCCATGCAGCGCCAGTCATCTCACTGACTGTAAAAAAGAGTGAATGCACTTATTTTACAGGTGCCATAAGATGCTTGCAAGGTGGTAATTAAGGCGATGTATTTACTATGTGGGCTATAATAAGAAGTGAAAACATTGTATTTTTCTCTTGGACATTTATGTGAATCTTCAGTGATGTACTTACTATGTTGTCCATATTAATATGTGAGAAATTGTCGTTTTCTTGGACCTTGATGTGAAGTTAAGATTTTAGATAAGCTTTAGGTATTGCAATTTCACACAAAAGTAGCGTAATTCAACTGATGAGTGCTATGTGAATAAATGTAAGCGATGCGATGCAAGTAGCTCTTGGCCACTTTCATTTTTTCAAAGTAGCTCTCAGGTGGAGAAAGGTTGGAGACCCCTGAGCTAGACTGATTATTTCAGATCTGGTGACTACATTTCCCATAATGCAACAGAACTCATTCAGGTGTTAGGCTTACAGCAGCCTGAGGAACATAAGGCTATAGGGGTCTGGTACAGTAACCTTTTAACTACAGATTTTACATTTTTAAAGTCCTTTCAAAGCATGTAAAAGGCCTCCCACCATCTGGAAACGTGTCACTTGCATCATGACAAAGATGGCGTATTCCATTTATTAAGAAATTATTTAATTTGACTAAATCAAAATGCCATGATTTATCACTTAAACTGACATTAGATAAAGAATCACTAACAATATTTCAACATGACTTGTAAACAAACACAGCGAGGGGAATACAAACTGGTGGGTGATTTAGGACTCGAGTCAATGTGCACTTTTAATACAAAAGATTTATTGAAAATTTCAACCAGTCATTTACAATTCTACAAAAGTATAAATGGTTCAAAAATTGAACAAACACAGGTGCATCTCTTTATACTGAGGTCATGTAGTCCACAACAATTGAACTGTGTTATGGTAAAATACAAAACTGTGATGCTAGCTTCCAAACTAGTGTGTGATTTCGTACCCTATAAGCTAGTAGCACATTTCAGGGCAGGTTTTTTGTTACATTTATCAAACATGTCTTATTTGAATCTATTTTTATTTGGAGCTTTTGTGGAATAAATAAAAGGCTGTTCCTTAATTGAGGGTATCACAGTAATGCTGCCACTATCAAATACTTTAATCTATTCATAACTGGAAAACGTGTCAAACTACGCCCTATGTTATGTGAGCCAATGGGCAAATGCAACGGCCCAAAACACTTCCATTAGACTTGATGAAACATACACACTGTTAACGAACAGTGCTGCATAAACTAAACGCAGCAAAACAAAATGCTTCAAATAAAAAACGCCTCAAAACGCAATGGAAACCAGGCACACAAACAATTGAAGCACACAGCTGGGCCCGGAGCACTTGTTGACATTCTGGGATTACTATAATTGGCCAAATTAAATAAATGCGGAGCATGTGTTGTCAAGTTGGTTAAGATGTTTCTTCATTTTCATGCGTTTTGGCATATTTCTTTTCTTTTCTTTGCATTGTGTATGAATGAACAGCACGTTTCTCCTGGAAGTGTCTTAGGCCGTTGTAATGTCATTGCCCGTCAGCCAATTTAGTATATAGATTGAAAAGCTCATATACAAGAGCATATAAATCCAATGAGTCACTTTGACATTAACTTTCTGTCAACGGACACTTACTACTGTATATCCTTTACTGTATAGAACAGTGTATCAAAAGGTGACAGATATATACAACAAATAAATACCAAAAAGAACAAAAGATCAGGAAGTGCGTGACGTAGTTGTTGTTTCTTTGTGCTGAAGATAGCAGCTGCCCTTTTTAGAATTGAACCTTCACCCATTGGTGGCTCACTGAACCTGGATGAATTGATTCAGTTTTGCTCAATGCTGACTGAGTGTCACTTGAACGCAACACGCCCAGGAGAGTGATGGGAGTGTATTGTTGTTTGTGTCATCATCAGTTCTCCACATCTTCCTCCTCTGCCTCATTCTCGGCTTCAGGTTCCTCGTCCATGCGCTCCTCTTCCTCCTCTTCCTCCTCCCTGCTCTTATCGTTCTCAGAGTCGGTTTTCTTCTCTCTGTCTTTACGTTTCTGCTCAGACACCTCCTTCTTTCCTTTCTGGCCCTTCTTGTACACTATAAAAGAATAAAAACATTTGTGTATTACACAAACATTCTGGAAATCTTAGATGTTGGTCTCAATAGGTGTATTTCCATCTATATCGTTAACATATTTTCAATTTGAACATAAATAAAAGCAAAATTAAGAGTTAAAAAAAACAGACTTTGATAATTAAATCATGTGATTTAAATATCCACTAAAGAGTGAAAAACATCAGGGGCCTAATTTATAAACAAGCAAAGATGCCTTTTATAAAAAGACTGGAGTTTTTATGGAAAAGTGACTGTGGCAGTGAGAATGAGCCTGAAATTAACATTATATTTTCCCTTTAAAAGTGACATACTGACCTTCTAGAGCTTCTCTGAGAGGCTCCAGGAATCGTTCAAACTCCATTTCCTCCATCGCAGACAAAACATCTCCTGCGTTCAGAGTTTTCCTTTTGGCTTTCATGGCAAAGTTGTTTGCACTGGAACAAAAAACAGAAAAACATTTTTATTGAATTAGAGGTAAAATGAGGAATGTCACAAATAATATTCACGGTCTTAAACCTTATAATGGTACTGGAAAGTTATATTACGTTTTTTTTAGGGCCGGGACTCGATTAAAAAAAATAATCTAATTAATTAGAGGCTTTGTAATTAATTAATCGAAATTAATCGCATTTTTAATCACATATAAATATTTGACCTAAGAACAGTGAGAAGCAATTTTTTTCACATGGATTTTAGTATACCATTAGGCGCATTCACACCGCAGTACTTTTCCCACAAAGGTTCATGAGAACTTAGTTCATGAGAACTCTTTGAACCTGGGGGTGGATTAGGCAAATGAAGCCGCTGACGTCACTTCTTCTTCTTCTGCTTTGGGTTTACTGGCAGGCCGCAAACCACTTCACGGCGTATACTGCCGCCCAAAGTCCCCGGCCGGAAGTCCCCGGAGTTAGGGACTGGCTTCAGTAGAAGCTGCTGGGAGTCCCTGCAGCCTTCCGAGTAAATCGCCAGAACGCCGACACCTCCCCATCTCCACCGCTCCCATGTTTTATTTTGTGTTGCCATAAGTTAGTCTCTCTGCGTTTCTGCGCTGGGCTAATGCTAATAATGCTAATGCGAGGATAATAAAATGGCGGCTTCACAAAACTTTTTGGGAGTTTTACGGGGCGTGGTTTGCAATCCGCCCAGCCAATCAGAAATATAGCTCTTTTCTCACAAGAGAGCCGTACGAAAGTCCCTGCTCTCTAGCAGCTCTCTAGCAGGGACTTTCGTGGGGGTAAAAAGGTTCTCATGAACTAATTTTAGTACCGGCTCTTTTTGGTGTGAACGCGATACAAGAGGCTAACGTCCACGCTAGCTTCCACGCTAGCTGCTATATGTTTTGCATTGAGGTGATACTTGAGGCTTGATGTGCTGCGGTGATATGCGAATTCCTTTTTGCATAATTTGCACACAACCGTGCTCTTATCGACGCTTCCATCCGTCCGTTTTTTAAAACAACATTTCCCACTGTTGTTCACTGTGGTTTGTTGTTGTCTGAAGTCATGAACGTTAGTTGGTGCTCCAGTATAATCGGTACGCCTGAAACTCATCCAGTGAGAAACGTTCCGCGGTGCAAAAATAAGTGCGATTAAAGTGCGTACAAAATTTTAACGCGTTAATTTTTGTGTGATTAATTAATCTTAATTAATGCGTTAAAGTCCCGGCCCTAGTTTTTTTCTTTAACTGTTTTTTGTGAATCAACACTCGAGTGATTTTTTCTAAGTGAGTTTGTTTATCCTTACCAGGACGTTGCATACAGCACAAACACACTGGCAGCTTGGGATATGGCTCTCCGGGCTTCTTTCGACACATTAACCCCATCTGGGAGCTGTGGGGAAAACAAATGGTGTGGATGAGTTAGAGCATCTCAAGGTTGCAGGATGAATTCATTTCATCAGAAAAACAAGCACATTAGGAACATTAACAACATATGCAAAAGGTAATCAGTTACAACTAAATGTTATGATCTTTTTTAAGAAAAACAAAAAACCAAAGTTCCAAAACAGCTACAGTAAGTTACTTTTCACCATTTAATATGGTACATTCAAGCAAGTATTGGATACTGATATTGAAATATAAAACATTATTTCACATTTACATTTTGGTACAAGAAGTTCCCATAAAGAATATATAACTCGGTGTCATCTTTAAATTTACTTACATATAAAATGTAAATACAACTTTAATGTTGTTTTTTTACACTTGTACTTACAATGTTTGTATTATTGTTTATATCTACACTTCAGTGATACTATTTTTCACTTAAACAAAATGTTTGATGACTTTTTCCCCCTCTTGTCACACGGGACTTTTACTAGTACTATTTTATTATAACTTGTGAATTTTATTTTACACTAATAGTATTATTATTCTGACGCTCCGAGACGAGTACTTCTTATGTATCCACTCACCGCCTCCTTGATGATGCGGGTGATCACCGCGTTGGGCAGGTTTAGATCTTCGGGTCTCTCCGCCATGTCTCTCGCCGGTTACCGAGTGCTTCACCCCGCCGTGTTCCCACCGCTAACTCCCCCGTCCGGATTACCGTTACCTCTCGTGTTCACAGATTAGCACTGTTGTGTTAGCCTGGAGCTGCCTAAAGCTAGCTAATGTAAGTAGCTCGTTCAGTTTCAAAGTAATATTTAGTAATATTAGTACCGCGTTTGAAGAAGACTTTATTATCAGTGTGGTTGATGGTTTTCAGTTTTATATATAAGTTTAAATTGAGTTTGAAGCCGCTCGCGTTTCCAATAGAACACATTTGTTTGGATGTTTCCCGCGAACCTTCCAAGCACGAGCCCTCCTCCGTCAACTTTCAACTACAACCCCTCTGACGTCAGCGTAACGTGCGTCGACGGTGCGTAGTTACGTAAACCTTCTGTCTCGTTGAGGAAGGCGTCTGCTAACAACAATTAGGTGCATTACCGCCACTGTTGGACTGGAGTGTGGTGTAGTAGATCGTCAGAAAAAAACGAAATACAATTATAAAAGAAACTGAGACTAAATTATCTCTATTGTTTCGGTTGTCTTATAATATTTTGTATTTAACAAACCGAATAATTTCTCATGTATCTTCCTTAGCAAATCCCCCAACGTGAAGCTTAGTGTTCCATCAGTTAACAACGTCATTAACTCTCTTTAACACATGCTTGACAGTTTCTGGTTTATTACAGTGTGTTTATAATCTATTAGTATAGTCTTTTCTGTCGAGTGTTTGATTTAGTCATGTGTGTCCTGTTCTTGGATGGGTCATGACCTTCTCTTCTATTGGGTTCCTGCTCCGTCTTCCACCTACCCCCTACATGTTTTTGAATGCCTGAATGTCTTCCACTCCCAGTATTATTGCCAAGTTTTGCATGTAAAATATTTTATAATAACATTATATTTTGCTTTACAAAAGGATTTTTATATGTCTGTAAACTAAAGTAATTTAAGTGAGTGTTAAGTTAGTTATTTTACTTCCTCCTAGGATTACAAAAGACCCCCATCACCCCAGCAACAAACTGTTCTGTCTGCTGCCGTCTGGCAGGCGGTACAGCAGCATCAGGACTAAAACAACCAGACTCAGGGACAGTTTCATCCCACACGCCATAAGACTGTTAAACACCTGCACTTTTGAAACAACATCCACAACATTAATCTGGCTGCAATTTAGAAATTATTTATCTAATATATCATATTCAATCACTTGCATAAAGACTCTTATTGCACTATTTCCCTTTTTTTCTTTTTGTATTTACTTGCACAATTGTTTCAGTTTTGTTTTTTTCAGTTTTATTGTGTTGCACTGTTGGAGGAGCCTGTGACCTAAGATTTTCTACGCATTACCAATAACATCCTTGAACCTTGAACCGTTACTTCCACCCCAATACAAACGGGAACCCAAAGCATGGAAATCACTAAGGTTCAATCTTAGTAGTAAATTCAACATTTTGTAGACGATATTGTCTGCATAACAACTCCCCAGATTTGAGGCTTGAAAGCACAGAAGCTGTTAGGACATTGGGTCGGTTATATTCTTCAGACCATTGCAATGCTAGCAATATCCCTAATTTTGCTGTGCAAACTGAAAGGTGATCTGACATTTTCATTTTTACTAGTATTCCATGTACCATGTCCTCTTTGATTTCCCAATTTGCCAATATCTTGACCCTCAACTTCTTTCGCAGAATTTCCTCCATTTCAACCTGCATTGTATGGTGATGTGTTTAACACTACAAATTCGGTGAGTCTGAGCCTGCCCAACATCACGGTTTTTAAGGTTGGTTTCTGCTGCAGACATATGCGATGCATCCATAATCTAGAACTGCAATCATAAGAGCCCAGTATATAGTTAATAAAAATGTTCTGTGATATCTGTCACAATCTTTTCAAATAGAACTGCAACAATCTCACTGCCTTGACCTGTTCAAAGGACTGTTCCATATAACTTCATGGTTACTACTGCACCATCATATGCATAAAGTGATTTCCCTATGTTTTTCTCAACATGTTTAAAATATCATTTATCATTATGGTAAATAACAGTGTACTACACGCACTGCCGGGATTGTAATTACTATTGTATACGTTTATTCGAAAATTCTGTACCCACCTTACCCCTGTTGTCCTCTGACTATAAACAGCAAATCTGACACCCAGTTGTATATTCTACCATTTACACTTTATTATTAAATATCATTTTAATAAGAAATCTCTCTTTCCATAACATGTCATAAAACTTTCCCACATCAAATCCATATGGCAATCCCCATATATTTTGCTTGAGCTTTCCTGACTTAAGATTCCAGACAGATGGACTGACCTTTTCCGAAATCTCGGAAAGTGAGTGTCTCATCAGTATTTTGGAGTGGACGGAGATCTATTAAATTCTGCTCTGACAAGTGAACATTAAAACATCATTACAACCATGAGGCACCTAAAGTGATAAACTCCCACTCACACATTATTTGCATTGTACAGATGAATATTAAAACCCTGAACATACAGACTTTTAACTCTGCTTACACCTTCATTACTAACAGAGTGGTGAAGGTCAGGGGTATTTAGGTGGTTTCCATGGCAGCTGGTTCCCTTGCACATGCAAGGAGGTGAAGCAGCCCACACATTGTGAAGCTCTCCGTAGAGTAAGCTATGCAAAGAAAGGTGAGCGTCTACTCCCACCAAGTTCAAGCTTCTGTTGCTGCTCTCTGCGCCGGGCTCCAGGATACTAAAGTTTCCTCAGCCGGTCTAACTGTGTTGTTGGAACAGTCGCTTCCATTGTGTCCATCTGACATGTCGACAGTTCGCTGCAGATGTGAATTTAATTCCCAAATATGTCAGACCAGAAGTGAATGTTTGAAGTAAAGGAGGAGTAATATTGCCTTATCTGTTCAACTACAATCCACCAATGCACCAATTTCTTTCAGAAAAATAAAACAAATGGCAAAACCACAACAACAAAAATACACCAATAACTTAATAAAAAACCTTTTAATTGGTACTTCACCAACTTTGAACATGCCTTTAAACTTACTAGAACCCTACAAAAGGATTGAATAAAACATTAAGTATGGTTTCCAAAAACTTGTAAACTCGTAAAAAATGAATACATATTTATTAGTTCAGCGTTTTGGTACCCATTTAAAGTGTGTATAAAAAGTTTGTTTTTTATGCATTTATATAAAACGTTACAACAAAGGATGTCAACATTTGCCTTTTATTCTTAAACTCACAGATGCATTTTTATAAGCACATGAAGATACTTTTGGATGTATATGTCCACCTGATGAACATGGGTCGATAATGAGGAGAGACATGCAAAGGCCCCACCACCTCTCTCACTTAAGAACAAGACAGATACTTAATAGTTTCTGTATTCATTTTGTGTCTCTACAATTTGCCCGTTTTATATTTGGTGTGAGTCTTTTGTAATTCTGAGTCCCTTACTGGATGGTATGTGTGTGACTAAGAGTCATTTCTGCAGTAAAAGTCATGATGAAGGCCAGGGGGCCCTGACACTTTGGGCCCCTGTGCCCCGTTATAATTCACCCATGCTGATGCATGACATATCTGTGTCTTTAGCTAATGCGGAGCTTTTAAGAACACCTACTGCTATAATCCACTTCAATCAGCGTTCAGACCAAAACACTGAAATTGTGGGACATAAAACCAAAACAATGACCCAAAAGACATTTCCTTCATGTGTTTCTTAACCATTTTAGATGCCTTTTAGGTACTTCCACCACGTTATCTTTCAAGTTATTACTTTTACCCAAAGTTTTGATTATGTGCCATGGCTTATGAGGCTGGTTCAATGTCATTCAGGTTGTGCGGATTATCATAATAAAATGAAATTTTTTCAACACACATTTGTATAAAAGAACATAGGCCTTGACAAGAGTTAAAACAAATAAAAAAGAGGTACAATTATTATTATTTTTGAATGATAAACATTAAATAATACAAAGTTTGAGAACTGTTTCTTGTCCATGTCTTCTACACAGGTTGCCCATATCTGTCTTTTTATAGACTTTCACTGTGATAATTGTAGTCTTTAATCTTCAATTGACTACAGCTGCAGCCACTATAGTTGGCAATGTTATTTTGACCTTTTTACACAAAATCAAAAACAGGTACTAACAGAAGTTACAATTATTCCATTTAATGAAAGTTAAAAACTTCTGCTGCACTACTGCTTAGAGGTAAATATTGTACTTTTTACTTCAGTGACTTTTCCGATCACAGCTTTTCAACTCTTTCCTGTCCGGTGAATACAACGTATATCCAGCGGTTTTTTATTTTAGGGATAAATTGAAGGATGGTATGTTTCTTTATGTGTTTAGAAACATAGTTCTTAAAGCTAAATTATTTGCAACAGCTGAAAGAAAGGGGTGTTTCTGTTTCTAAAAACGCATGAAAAGTTTACTTTTTAGAGATGCATGGACACAGTATTATATTATAGAATATGATTCATTGCTGTAGATCAAACTGCCCAACAATTTAGAATGAAGCACAACCTTAAACATCTACAGCAGTATAAAACAGACCACAAAGCCATAGAGTCTGTATTTTAACTACTTAATAACTACTTATTTTAACTGCTAAACTTTCTTGATGAGCAATTATATAATAGAACAAAGAAGAGAGAGAGAGAGAGAGAGAGAGAGAGAGAGAGAGAGAGAGAGAGAGAGAGAGAGAGAGAGAGAGAGAGAGAGAGAGAGAGAGAGAGAGAGAGAGGGAATTGTACAGGACCTAGAAACATGTGTTTATATAGTAAAAAATACAAATCACAAATGTGCCTTGTCTTTTGAAAAAAGAGAATAAAGAGATAAAAGAATGAGGATTGAAAAAATTAGGAATTATAAATATGGGACAAAGTTATATTCAAGAGAGGAAATAAAGAAAAACAGATTGGTTTGAAAATAAGAAGAATACAAGCTAAATCTGAATTTGGGTATGAATTATCATCCAAATCCTTTATTCAATAAGAGGTGGCTTTCTTAATATCATTTGGTTCCCTTCACATGTTTAACATTTTGAGATACCAAGACAAAGTGGTAAAAGTTGATATGCTTATAAAATGACATATACATCTATAAATGCTGAACTTACACTAAAGCTGCTAAGTTTTTTTATTTAAATGTTTAGATTTATTTTCAGTCAGGAGAACACAATATTCATGCAGACTTTTAATTGAACCAATTTATTGTTGCACGTCTTGTTTTGTGCTGCAAGCTGATTGTAAAATAACTTAATTAATTGTTGTTGTATGTATGTAGGCCTACTTATATTAATTTTAACATAATCAGTCAAAGCAGGTCACGCTAACTTAAGTTGATGTAGGCCTATCAGCAAAGTATTGTGCAGCAGGTGTCATGTGGTTGTCTACAAAAAAAGATAAAACTCAGTCATAAATGCTTGAGGGGGTTATTGAAGTTTAAGGCAAACGTTTTTTTTTGTCCACAGTGCATCTAGACTTGAAGAATTCGGGAATCAGTGCATGTTTAAAGGCACATCAGTGATGGTAATGAATTGTTTAATGATATGCATGCATCTATTCGTAGAAAATATATTTAGCAGGTTATTAATTGTTTTTTTTAAATAGCTGTCATAACAGTCCTATTTTAATTTAATTTTGCTTTGTTACGTATTCTTATTTCTGTGTCTTAGTATGCAACACATGTATAAAGCAAATTCCTTGTATGTAAATCTACTTGGTAATAAAAGCGATTCTGTTTCAGATTCTGATTCTGATTATGTCATTTAAAGATGATATGATGATTAAAATACATCTCAAATTTATTTAATAACGAAATAAAAATAATGTATGAATGATTAAAGGATTATAAGCACATTTTTATGAAAAGGGCCATCGTGCATAAAAGTAGCCAACGTTTTATTTTGGTAGTCTTTTTTTAATATTTTGATGCTAATTAATTGTATTTTGCTTATATACTTTGCAAATAACTAATTAAAAATAACTTCCAACACTGGATAAGCTACTTATTACTTAATAATTGTTGGTAACTATTGTATATAATAATACTATTAATAATAATAACTCCAACAGTAAAACAAAAGTAAAATATTTTAAACAAATATGGTTGGGTATTCATTTAAGAAAAAAAAAAGTAACCTCATTAAATTAATGTCACTAACAATAATTCAATGATGTGGAACAATTAACAATGTCCATTGGGCTGGAACATCGTATGGTTTTATAAAGGGATCACTGAGGAACAGCATTAACAAGTAGTAAGTGAAGAGGAGGGACATCTCAATATCAGTGCAGTATAAGGAAGACGTTATCAGTTCTAGATGTGGTTCTAAGTTCACTTGTTCTGTTGAGGTTCTGCATGGTACGGGAGGCAGGCAGCCAGGCAGTGTTGTCTGCCCACTACCGTTGGGTTCTTTAGGAAGAGGTTTGTTTATGCAGCACTACTTTTGTGTACATCCGACAATTACTACCAAACTAAGTAGCAATTGTGGACCTCTTTTTTTTAAAAGAGAGCTACGAAAATTCTAAAACCGCGCTCACTTTTAAAGTTTCATACTCTATCCTCGAGAACTGTCTCCCGTTTCGACCCCGACAGACGACTTCGGCTGCGTTATTTGTTGGATCTATTTTCTTTTGGGGATGGCTGTGCTGCGCCTTTTTCTCCTTCGCTCCGCCATCTTGAATTGTAATGTTAGTTTCTAAAAAAAAAAAAAAATTGTGTTTCCTGTGATATTTTTTGTTTAGGGTGTCGTGCCAAATTTGGATGAGTTTGAAGGAGTTTGATTTCGTGATTGTTTTCACAAAATCACATTTGTGAGTATTACGTGTTTGTTCTGCGTCTGTAGTCGACTGGAGACATTTAAACGCTACCAACGCGTGAAAATGCTTTCAGCTATCTAACTGCCTGCTATAATGATAAATAATGCCTGGACTGATACTCTGATTGTTCTACTCTCTTTTTATGAGTACAGTGCACCGTGTGTACAAGGGGATCGACACACAAACTAACTTTTAATTCGCTTACAAATGATAGATTTAGCCTGCTAAGCTAACTAGCTAATGGTTTCCAAATCAAACAACCCAGGCTAACGCAGTGTGTGTTAGCTTGGGTTAGCCTGCTGTGGTCCAGTGGTTTGCAGGTAACGTAAGTTACAGGGCAATGTGTGCAGTTATATATCTGCTCATTTCCTCGAATATTTGAAGCACACAACTGTATATTATTATTGTGATAAAGGGTAACGGTGGTGTGTTATTGTCGACTGTTGTTGACTGCTAGCTGACAAAGCTAGTGAGCTCACTGAAGTTAAGTTTGGTGCTAGCTAGCATAAACTAAGCAGTACTGTTAAATAATTCACAAATATGTGTTCTCTTAATAAGAATAGACACGTGTTAGTAAACGATCCCATAAAACGGGGTTTTATTATTTGGCTTTAAGCATTTTTTAATGGAATATTTGAAATCATCTTGAGATGTGGAGTGCATTTATTATGGTGTAGTTTTGTTAAATATCCCCACCCGTGTGATACTCTGTTCCGGTCTTTGTGTTGAAATAGGAGTTAACTGACTGTGTTTGTATGGTGGGTGTGCAACGTTTACTGTGCATGGCACATTGCCGGCGTTTGCTGCAAGCTAACCACCACCATGGCCGAGCATCTCCCCGGCGTCTACTTATAGTGGTTAGCTCCATGCTAGCGGAGAATGCACGGCTAGAGAGACGACAGTTGACAAACAATGCAACGCTATATTGATAACTCTTGAGACAATCTCGGCCTCAGCTCCCGTGCGTGGCATTTCCTGATACATTGTGGTTTTAAATGTGGCTAACGTTAGCTTCTGAGCTAAAAAAAAAAAGCGAAGATATTTTATATGCATCGATTACAAATGAGATGATGCTCATTGCGACGCAATAGCGCATTTGGAAACCACTTTACTCATATGACGGCAGTATAAATATTGTATGATGTGTTTTATAGGATTCTTAAAGTGCTCAGGACTGTGTGATCCATGAAGTGACAAAGCCATACTTTATGTGTGATGGTACCAACGACGTTTCTGTTGCACTTGACAATAAGCCAGTGCATTATGTGGGGTTAACACTAAGCGGCGCTACAGGATAATTTTAAACTTCTTTCCTCAACACATCCTTTCCTGTTTGTGTCCAACCCATGGATGTATATTAAGAACATCCAACCTAGTGGTGTAAGAAGGAAGGAAAGTAGTAATACCACAATGTACACATACTCTGTTAGTACGTAAGTAAGTACACGTCCTGTATTGAACCCCCCCCCCCCCCCCAAAAAAAAGGCAAAAAATACTCCGGTATAATATATATTTTATTACTAGATTATATTTATTAATGTATAAACTTGTATATTTAGTACTTTATATACTACTGGGTATCCTAACATATAATCATAATAATACATCATACTTTGTTTTCGAATTTTATATTTTGTATAAATAATCAAAATTGGCAAAGTATCTCAACATTAAATATACATTTAGTGGAGTAAAGCACACTATTTTTCACTAGACTTAGTAAAATAATAGTATCAAGTTGCAGGAAATGGACACACTCAAGTAATTTAAAGAGCCTCAAGATTGTACCTGAGTAAATGTACTTAGTTACATACATTCCACCCCTGCTTAAACCTACCACAGTGTAAACAACGCCAGTCACCACTGGGGGAACTGACAGGTCACACTTTAGCAGCAGCTGCCAGTTGTGAGCTTGTCTGCCTTGAACCTCAACAATTCTAGTAATTTCAAATATTTTTTTAAGTTTTGTGCACAATATTGATCACAGAATATGCAAAGGTTCACAGTATAGAGAAAAATGAATGAATTACTTGTCCCCTGTTAGGTGATTAATCTATTTTGGTGGTTGAACACTAGTCATTGTTTCTGTATTTGTCTTAGCATCCTTTGAGCTGATAACACATCCACCTGCTCATTTTCATCCCATCCATCTGTGTAATCTAATTTGTGTCATCTAGTGACGTTTTGTTTTTCGCTATGCTTCCAGGTTTCAAACTCTAGACCCCAGTCTTCCCCACTCAAGAGTGTTTCTTCATCTCGGAGACTAAATGCAACTGGACCAGGGGGATTGTGGGCATGAAGTGGCTAGGCGAATCCAAGAACATGGTATTAAATGGCAGACGACACGGAAACAAGTTGACCAGCGAGCAACATGTGAGCCAGACTCACTCACAGCGAGTGTCCCTGCGACACAGCAAAAACAGAAGTCGGAGGTGTAGCCGCAGTGAGTTACACATGTGTGTTAACAAATGTGTACATACCTCAATAGGCACACCAGCCTAACACCAGTCTTGGGTTTGGTGTTTACAGGGTTTATTGCAGCCAGCCTGGAGGCAGAGAGGCGCTGTGTGCCCTCGTCAGGAATGACTGCCAAGGAGTTGTGTGAGAATGATGACCTGACCACAAGCCTCATCCTGGATCCATACCTGGGCTTTCAAACTCACAAAATGAACACCAGGTCAGCAGATATATCACAGTGTAACTGATTATCCCGCAGCCTATTCACACTCCTATAATATAAAAGCATTTATATTGATTGTCCTGGATTAGGGTGTATGTTATTTCAGATTTTCCTATTCGGGTTCCATTTGCTTCATGCCCTTAATTTATCCCTGCAGATTTCGACCAATTAAGGGAAGGCAAGAAGAGCTTAAGGACATCATCGAGCGCTTCAAGAAACACGACAACTTGGAGAAAGCTTTCAGAGCTTTGACGACCGGAGACTGGTCTCGAAATCAATTTCTCCACAAGACGAAAGCTCAAGAAAAGCTCTTTAAGCAACATGTAAAAAAACATTTCCCAAGATTTCCCATGTTTTACATTTTCCAGCATCAAAAACAATAACATGACTAACTTTTTGTTTTGCACAGGTATTTGTGTATCTGCGGATGTTTGCCACAGACAGCGGGTTTGAGATTCTCCCTTGTAATCGCTATTCATCAGAGCAAAATGGAGCTAAAATTGTGGCAACAAAGGAATGGTGAGGATATGCTGCCACTAGTCCATGAACTAATTGCATTAGCACTGCTAAATGAATATTAACTGTATTAGCCAGCACATTTAAAGGCTGTTCTGGTGTATGTGTGAAAGCACTTCTACCGGAGGTAATGCTGCCCATTTATGCAGTGTTTAATAAACTTTTCCTACCTTTTATTTTTTTCCTATCGTTCTTAACAGGAAGAGAAATGACAAGATCGAGTACCTGGTGGGATGCATTGCCGAGCTTTCAGAGAGTGAGGAAAACATGCTGCTCCGGCACGGGGAGAATGACTTCAGCGTCATGTATTCAACCCGCAAGAACTGTGCGCAGCTCTGGCTGGGACCAGCTGCGTTCATCAATCACGGTACGAATCAATATTGTTTCTCATGGTCTGGTTTCATCACGAGATGCCCTCAGGGGAATTTTTATAATTAAATATATAATTTATAATCTCCACTAGTCCAATATTCTTTGTATGGATACTAATTTCAGATTGTTTGTTTGTTCAGATTGTCGACCAAACTGCAAGGTAAGTTCTCTAGAACACTTTTCTTTAGAAAAAAATATAATCTTAATTATCATTTTTTTTTTTTAGAGCTCCTGTTAATAATCACATTTAATTTTTCTGTTTAGTTTGTATCGACAGGACGGGACACAGCCTGTGTGAAGGTTTTGAGGGACATTGAACCAGGAGAGGAAATCTCTTGTTACTACGGAGACGGTTTTTTTGGGGAAAACAATGAATATTGTGAATGCTATACATGTGAACGGTAGGTGGATCCATTAGTTGCACTGAGAAAATACATAAAAATGTAATCTAGAGCTTAATCACAGCCGGTCATGATTCAACACTCTGACGTAAACTGCTCACCTTGTCGGGGTAGAATTATCAAAAATGACTCGATGGCTCTGTGTGATCGTGCTATTTAGACAACTATTTACGAAATCTATCATTAATTTTGCACCACATATTGATTTTAAAGTGCTTCTATTGCTTCCGCCAATAAATATATCCTGCTAGGTTCACGATCCGAACTGCGCCGATAACCACGGTCTGTCATCTCCTTTAACCCTCTGGAGTCTAAGGGTATTTTCTCGATTTTTAGATGTTTTCTCAGGGCTCGACATTAAGGACTGCCCGATGGCCCGGGGCCATCTAGTATTTAGCTCGGGCAATGGAGCCTCACCTGCTGGTTGCCCGACCGGGCAATCTATTATGCAGCTCGCGGATCCAGTAATGAGTGACCCGACAGTAAAACTAAACATATCTATAACTAGTTTAGGTAGTTTGAGAGGTAATTAAAATAGCTACGTGTGATATTCTAACCTGAAGTGTGTGTTTTGTTCCGCTCACCGCTGCAGGTGATCATGCAGAGCTGCGTATCAACTCGTCAGCAGCAGCTGATCTCTCTCTCCCGTCAGATTAGACTTCACTCGCGTTTATGTCCATATCGATCAGATCCAGCTAGTTCTAGCTAATGATATGACTACCTGCTTATTAAAAGACACCTAAACAATAAGTGTCGCTATGCAACCGGGTGAGGCCGCAAAGTATAGCGCAGCATTATGCATTTGTTTACATGCCCACCGGAACCCTGAGGTATTACCAACAGATCAACGCACAATCAACCCATACAGGACATCTCTTTCTCCACATTAAGTGTTAGCCATTAGAGTTGACTATTCTTGTCTGTCATATACTCTTCTTGTCTGTCACATAAGTGGCGCAACTGAAGCGGTATTGCGCTAAAGGGAAATAATTTTGACCGAAGAGATTTAGATTTGCCGGCTAACGGGAACTCTGACGTCCCATTTTGTGTGCTTCGCGGATGCGCTCGGCTCCTCTCGACTGCTGCTCGGGTCTGCTCGGTCAGCTTCCGGATGAGGAGGCATTCGTTCGACCAACTTACAGTAGATAACATTACAAACATTTTTAATAGTGTAAATAATGTTTGTTTTGGCAGTTATAACTGAATGTAATGTTTTCTACTTTTTTACATCTGGGAAGCCATTTGCCTTCATCAGATGGAAAGTGTCTTGATCAACAACTTAAGTATTTCTTAAAGCTATGCAGGTCATGCAAGCGAGCAAACACAAACAAGAACAAACAAACAAGTCAAATGAAGAATACAATTGAACAATATAATATTGTGGTGGTTCATCTTATAATTCAGTCTAGAGAATGCACCAGACAGCATCTAAGACCTGCAAAAATCGAAATGTTCTATAGGGGGAGGCCCCCCAAACCCTTCGTGCGTCATTTCGTCCGCGAGCATTTTTCAGGGCAATCTCTATTGGGCTCAGGGCCATCTGTAAATTAGCTTAGATGGCCCACAGGGCCATCTCCCAAAATCCTTAATGTCATGCACTGTTTCTTAAATCACCTTTTAAATGTATTTCTTCTAACATGGCACCCCATGTGTTAAATATCAAAATGTTCAGGACAATCTCTAGTATTGCTATATATGCAAATTACTCACCTTAGAGCACTGTTTGATGAGATAAGTAGCTCAAAAGCTTAAAATTTGACATCCGATTTTCGGAAAATCTTCAAAACTTTTGTGAAAACACAAATGTACTCATGTGATCGAATTGTTTTGGTGTTTTAGATTTGGTTACCAAAGTCTTAGGATCACAAAAGCAGTGAAATATTTGAATTACACTGTATATAAATGTGTTATTCATGTCTAAAATTAAAAAAATTAAATTCGAATTTTGAGTAAAATAGGTGTTTATCACTCTACTTTCACCACAGCAGGGACTGAGATACATTAGGACTGAATAATGACTTCATATTACATACCAAGGTTCATGTGATGTGTACAAATACAAATTGAGCATTCAACCTTTTTTTTCAACCAACAATTTATTATAAATATGTTTTTTTCAACCAACTATTTATATAAATATAAGAAACTGGAAAATCTAACTATTTACAATATTGAACATCAGAACTTTCAACCAACTATTCATTATAAATGTCAAGACAGTGTCAAGGTCTTTGTCTGTCTTCCAAGACAGTGGGTCTGGCTGCTGTGAAGATGGGGGTGATGGTGCATGGGCTGCTGTGTAGGTGGGGTGTACAAGTGCTATACGAGACCTCCACGAGACCTCCTTGCTGGCTGGGTTGAAGGTGATGGCTGTGGTGGAGCCTTTGTGCTGAGGTGTATCTTGACCTGGTGGCAGCCGCAGATGGAGGTGGAGGCAGCTGTAGTGATGCTGGTCTGCTGGTCCTTGGTGGTGATGGCTCTGGTGAATGCCCTTGAGCCACGGTAGATCTTGACCTGGGGGCCGGCACAGATGGATGTTCTGGCTGCTGGATAAACGCCGCCTGTGGGCCACTAGGCCCAGACAGCTGTGAAACCTCTCTGTAAAACAAATTAAAATGTAGGACAATAATTACAACTAATTTCATTGAAATAAAGTTCAAGTAAAATGTTGCTCAAGCACAAATAACAATGCACACATAAAAAGAAAGTTTGGGAGGTTGGAGAAGGAACACACACACACACACACACACACACACACACACACACACACACACACACACACACACACACACACACACACACACACACACACACACACACACAGAGGTGTGTTACTAGGTGTGTTACCAGTTACTTTACATTCAGTATAAAATCACAGACACACATATACATAGGCTACATCTGATTACAAAGTCTCATCTGATTACAAAGTCTCATCTGTACAGGACGGTAAAATAATAACAGGCACACATATAAATAAATCTATGACAAAGTCTCATCTGTACAGAACAGTATGATAAAATAATCGATGGCAAAAACATGTCACTGTAAATGTCTCTGTTGTGGGACGAATACATGATTAATTTAATCCTCTACACATGTAATGTCACTTTTACACACCAAAATAACGTTAACACAGCGTCAACATTTGCTAATGGAGAGTCTATTTTGTCCAATAAAAAGTTCATGACTATCGATAAAAAATATATATCAATAAACCTATTGTTCATTTTCGCGGTATTCCCCACACATTGCCAGTACACTATTACTGTAATATTTACACTTACCCATGCCCAAATGGATCCTTGTTGTTGTCTTTGTATTCTTCTTCTTCAGAAGAGTCGAAGACTTCACGTTCTGAGGCTCTATCTTCACTGCTGCTAGCGAAAAAAATCTCTAGCGAAGTCGGCAACCGTAAAGTTTTTTTTAGCCATTTTCTCTGTCCGTCTCTCTCTCCTCAAAGACGTAAACTGATGGGAGACACGTGGTTTATGTTTTGTTTACTTGGTGGGTAGGTCCTTAGTGATTTCTCGATGTCCATTGGTCATTTCAGACCATGATGGCTGCCGGCCGAGATTTCCTTGACGGACACATGAATCCACCAATCCACAGTGTAAAGTCAAGCTGCTTTGAGCGGCCATATTGGCTGCTGTGCCCTGGTTACAGTCTCACAGGAGATACCGCTGGAAAGCTACTCTTCCAGTGATTCCGCGGATATCTGAATCATATTTCTACTCCTTATAATCGAAAATATATGATTAATTACGTAAAATTATGCGCACCGACTCCAGAGGTTTAAGCATACTGTTGTTGTCAATAATAAAATGTTAAATGCCATTATTAACCAATCAGAATTGATTACGATAAACAGTATTATTTTTGCGACAAATGTTGTCATTATTATTTATTTTTTTCACCCAAAAAAAAAAATTATATATGAATGCAACAAAGTAAAAAATAAATAAAACTGAAATATCCAGATGTTCGGAGTAAAAAAAAACACAAATATCCAGATGTTCGGAGTAAAAAAAAGAGAAAACTCAAAACAACATAAATTATTGAAAACTATGTAACTATGTAAACGGACGTGTTAAATTGTCAAACGGTTATATTACCAGTATTATAAAATCACAAGTTAATTCCAAGATATTTGTATTTGTTTTTTTGCTCAACTATTCACCTTTTTTGTTGCAGACGGGGCACTGGTGCTTTCAAATCCAAAGCTGGGCTGCCAGTGGAGGTGCCGGTGATCAACAGCAAGTACGGGTTGCGGGAGACGGACAAGCGTCTCAACAGGCTGAAGAAGCTGGGGGAAGGAAACAGGAGCTCAGATAGTCACTCTGTAGGCTCCCACACCGATGTTGACTCTCAGGAAATGCCAAAAACACATCAATGTAAGAGTCTCCTAAATATTCAATGCTGTAGCCATAGTTACTGCACGGGTTCAAATCCTAAACTCAAAAACTTCGGAGCAGAGAAGAAATCCCACCTGCCAGCGTGGTGTGGTAAAGGTAGCATTCTACTAATCATTTGAATAAGAACATCAGTATATTAGAGTAGGGCTATATAGATGTAATTATGTATCGTGAAGAACAACCAATATCTTTATTTTAGGACTTCTTGCTATCATAATTCAGTGTTTATCCTTCTCATTGAAGTTATATTATTCATTATTAATGTTGGCTCTGAGTTACTGTTTGATTCTGTAAATGTCACCCAGCCAACACTGTAGGCAGGTTTCTTGAAACGTTATAAATATGTTATGTGCAACTTTTTATCTTTATCTACCAGCTGCCAGAAAAAGAACATCATCTTCTGGCCTGAAGTATAAAAACAGGACTCAATCCAGACAGACTTTGTCAAGAGCCCTTACTACCTCATGTTCAAAACAAGGTCGTGTAAACAATAACAGGGTACCAAAGAGACTAAAATCCCAATCCAAGCCTTCACTAAGTAAAGTCCAGTTGCGGAGTCGCAGGAGGGGTGCAGAGCCCAAGGCGTTGGCCAAAGGAGAGACTTGCCAGCTGGGTCTCAGGGACTCAAAGGTGTCGCTGTGTAAAGGCGTCACCGTGAAGAACGAGAAGGATGGACAGGAGCTGGTGCAGCAGACATTGGGCCAGCGGGGCTGCCTCACCCGTCATGCTGCCAAGGAAAATGGCAATCTACAACATGTGCAAGGTAGTGAGGGCAGTCAGTGTTCGACGTACAGAACTCGCAGGTCCACAAGGACCCTGGTAACAGCCCAGGAAGCTGCAGCTGGTGTTAAGCTAGAGCCCAGTGCTATGGACGGCTTGAGCCCAGTCCCTGGTGGAGTGGTCATTAAAACAGAGCCAGCTGACATGGAGTACCACCTCCACCATGGGGTAGGACATGAGCAGCCATCGTTAGACTCTGGCTATGCCAGAACAGGCTCATGCCCCGGGCGGAAACGGCCAACACGAACAATTAAATGTGAGGACTCGTACGACGAGCCGTTCATGCCGGTGGCTGCTAGTCACAACACTAACTTCTCAGACTGTGGGAATATGGTGTTGAGCTTCGCCGACCGGCATAGGGACTACAACGGGGTTTCCAACGGCAGCAAATCTCTTCGCAGGGACAAGGGCAAGAGTAGCTGTCGGTCACAGGACAAGGTGAAAAAGAAGCGTCAGATCACGCGATATGACGCCCAGCTGATCCTGGAGAACAGCACAGGTATCCCCAAACTGACGCTCCGCCGGCGGAGGGACAGCAGCAGTAGCAAGACCAACGACACCAAGGACCCCATTGGCTCCTCCAACCTCTCTGCCTCTTCGGTCAACTCGGCCTCTTCCAGCAAAATCAGCATCAAGTTCAGCAAGGACCATGACAAGGACAAAGGCAGCTCATACATAGCCAAACTAAATAACGGATTTTCCCCCGGGGTCCACAGCAACTCCACCAAGCTGAAGTTCCAGCTGAAGAGGGAGGACGATGCACGGAGGATATCCCAGACCAAGGCGGACCAGATGTCCTTTAACGGGGACATGGGCCAGAGTCTGGACTCCAGGAATGGTGGACATCGGACCCAAAAGGTCATGGCAGAGCCCTCGTCATCGTCGTCCTCATCGTCATCTTCAGAGGAAGACACGGACGACGAGGAAGAGGAGGATGACGATGACTACTTCGACAATGAGTTCGAAGACGATTTCATTCCACTTCCTCCAGCGAAGCGCCTCCGACTCATTGTGGGTAAAGACTCGATAGACATCGATATCTCCTCCAGGAGGAGAGAGGATCAGTCCCTGAGGCTCAATGCATAAGCTGTGGAGCTCATCACTCCCACCTTTCCCCTGTAAATAAAGATGACTCGCTAATCAACTGTTGTGTTGATGTAAAAGAAGTACAGTAATTTAAAGAAAAAAGAAATTGCTGAAAAGTTAAACATTTGAATGAACGTTACTAAAAGGTGCTGTTGACCTAAAACAAATGTCTGTTATTCACCTATGTTTATAATTTAGTTTCAATTTGAGTTTAAAAAAAAAGAAACAAATACTCAAGAGAAAAAGTTTAATCACCAACTCCATTTTCCTGCATTTTGGCCCTGTCTACACGAATAGAGATAATTTAGAAAACTGATATTTTTGCTCACGTTTTAGTCTCCTCCCCATACAAACAGAATTTTCAGTCACCTAAACAGAGATTTTCAAAAACTGTGGTTACTGTGTATCCGTGTAAAACGTAGTGTTTGAGAAATAAAGCTTTGTGTAATGAGCATGCGCGTGAAACAATGGCGGACTAACTGTCGGCTTTTGTAAAGTAACACTAGGCAGCAAACCCACCTCATCTTGCATCCACATGTTTTACATTCACAAGACAAACTCGCTGCACATTCTCCGAATCTTCTAACGTGGTATTCGACGCATCGTTGACATGGCGCCACCTATTGGTCCGACAAATATTTGGAGTTGGTTTGCGGAGGAGATAGTTTGGGAAAAAAGGCAAGATGGACAGCTTTTATTTTTTAAATGTATTCGTATACGTGTAGACGGAGCCAAATATTTGCATTCTGCGTTAAATGAAAAGGGCAGGAAGTGGTCCTCTTCTGAATAATCTGGCCTCATCCTAAGTGAAAAAAAAGCATTTGTTTTAAGTTCAACTCTTCCTTTAAGTGAATGCACTTGTTATATTCATAATGGACATGGATATTGTAGAAAGTGTACAGTATGGTGACTATCCCCCTCTGTCTCATAGGCAGGTTTTTATTGAGCTTTTGATTTCTGTCTCATAGTTTGTAATCTTTTCTGTGGTGAACCATGCTGTGTGTCGTGGATTCTCCGGAGGCATTATAAGAACAGTCAGTCAGTTCATTTGGATTCAGGTGCCATGTTCTCATTATCCCAGTAGTTCTCCTGGTTTAAAGAACCACTTGAATTTCATGAATTATCAACATTATTTACTGTGTAAGTTAATCACGTGTCTCTCTGTAGAGTTCAATCATGCAATTTTAAACCTTTAAACAAATCTGTGCTATCATGTTTTTCACCATAGAAAGAGAAGCAAACTGTTTTATATATGTTATTAACATGCATCAAAATGTGCTACAGACCACTTTGCAGTAACATTATGCATGTGTGTGTTTAGTTTGCCTGCAGTTGTCGCACATTCACGACACAAACGATACGATGGAGTTGCACAATGTTTTCTTTTCCAGTGAATCGACTCCACGGCGCTGTAAATAAAGTCAATTAAGCTGCAGAATTCAAAGAAATAAAAGCACACCGTTTTTTATAATCAGTCGAGGATAAATGAATGGGCTTTGTCTTTGGCGCTACTGTCATAATGGTAACATGGCACACATGGTCGTTCAAAGGTAAATCAAACCAAATCCGTACATTAAGGCTACCTATTTGCTTTAATTTGTAATTCTGAAAAGTAATGTACAGAAAGACTGGCTCATGTCCCTCAGATTTATTTTCTCTAAATGTCCAGTCTCACCTTTTCAGAAGTCAACAAAGATGTCCGTCTACACTAAAATCACATTGTCTGAAATGTTAGTGTAATCATGTATTCTTTTCTCTATGGTGCTACTTTTGTTTCCTTGTCATCTTTGTGTGAGTCTGTCCTGTGTGACTCTTTACTGGTAGATGGTGGCAGCATTAACTTCGACAGGCCCAACAATTCTGTAGAAATACACATTTTTAGAGCAGTAATATAAGTTATCAGTTGTCTGTAGCCTTCATTTACTTTTTTTGCAGAAACTTTAAGAAATTGTCTATCCCACAGCATTAGGTGCCTTAACAAAAAGCTTTTTCACACACTTAGACCACATTTGTAACTAATCATTGAAAAGTGACAATGCTAAAGCCATCTGCTCCCCCCTTGAAATTATTGAAACACGATAAGTCCACCGCCAGTCCTTCTGTATATTATTTTATTTTTGTTGTGTGGAAGTTAAGGAACTGTCTAATAGATTCAAGGGATCAACAGAGTTTGAATGTTAACCCACTTCTCCTTGTGTGTACTGTTCATATCACCAGCAGCTAATCACCGTTCTGATCCTGGCTCAGTTCCCCCCTTTGTCGGACGTCTCCATCCTACACTGTAAACTGTTCCAGGTGTAACGTCTGTGTTGTCTTTGTCCAATAGACAGCTGTCAAGATTCCCAATTGATTAAAAAAGTTAAAGCAAAAAAAATTAAAAAGGAAACACAAATGTGAATAGTTTGCGGACATTTTAGCGTGTAACGTGGGTAGTGGGAAACGTAAAGAGAATTAAAAATGGACAGTGCGTATATTGTCCGATATGTAAATCTTGTGAACACATCTTGTACTTATTTAACAGTTTTGAATACTTTAAAACTATATAAAGTTTCTTTGTGAATCTTGTTTCCGGAGCCTGTTTTAAAGTTGCCTGGATGTTCACATCCAAGTTTGGCTTTTAAGATGGTGTCGATCACAAATATGGCTTTTTATATTTAACCTTTTTTTATTATTGTCAACAAATCCCATGAATAGACCAACGCCAGCAATGTTTTTCATTGGTAAACGTAATACTGACGACACACATTTAAAAACAGCTCACAGATTTGTGGGGACTGTTTTTAGGTGCGTATGAATCCACATTTGGTGGTAGGCCTATGTGAGTATTTCTGGCAGCATGTCAGTGTTTGTGGATATTCAGTGTAACATGGATGTCATTGCCATAGTTTTTATTTAAAAGAATCAGACTTTAATGTGTTATTTGATTTATTCACGTTTTTTTGTTGTTGAACTTTTAAGGAGATTTGTTGACAATAAGAAACATGTCACATAATGAGTTATGTTGATTTATGTTTTTCGGGAAAAATAAGCAAGTCAAGAAACTTTACCAGTAGTTTCAGTTTAAAGGGAAGAGAGTGACAAATTGTGATTGGTATTTCGGGTTCTCTTGGCAACATCTGTGACTAAACCACCTAACCAGGGGGGTATACTACGAAGCAGGATTTTCGTTTAGCAAGATAACTTCTGGGATTTCCGGTACTACGAAGCTGGTTCACTTTTTAGCGGGCTAGATCTCCATGGTGACTTATCCTGGAACCTAGTCTGTGCTCCGAAGCAGGATAGGTTCCAGGATAAGAGATCAACTCAGCGAAAGCACCACGCCTGCTGACCAAAAGCTCAGTGTGCGGAGGAAATACAGTTTAAACTGCCGTTGCAGGAAAGACGGCCGGCCAAAATCACCGACTGTGTGAACGTGAAAATGAATAGAACATCACCTCCCATCTTCAGAGCAGTCTGACTATTATAACTATTATACTATTATGTTAAGAAAGCTTAATTAAATATCTGCCACAACATAAGTAACCGGATCAAAGTAACATTACGTTGCCTACAGTCCGCGGCACTGTGAGTGCAGACGTCGATATGTCCCATTATCATTCATATCACATCATAATATATCATATATTTCCTTATCTGAGTCAGCTGAGCCGTATCTGGCTGTGCAACACTCACAGTGTCACATAGGCTACTGTATGCATAAGTATTATTTTAAGCAACACATTAAGTTGACGAAACACTCGAGTCAAATGTAATTAAAGTCAGTTCCACTGGTGTCTTAGACGGGGCAGTGATATCATAAACCTGTTAATGTACGCATTCAAACACTTTTTCTTTTACCAGCTGTATTCTTTCACACACAGTGACGTCACGAGCTACCCACAATGCAACGCGCGCCATATATATATATAAATATGCCATTTTCCTGGAGGTGCAAATATCCTGGAGGTGCAAATATAAACAACTAGCTAACTTTGCCAGGCAGAGCGCACTTGTTATTTTTTCTGAATTAACGACCGAAGAAATCGCTGCATGTCTTCGGATTACATCTCTGGACTTGAGAGCTGTGCTCTAGGTCGTTACCAGCGTAAACTGGAGCTGTGTGGGTTGTCGGATTGCCCTTACAGACTGCCTGCAGATGTATGGAAAAACGACCGTCGAAAGTGGCCTTCGTCGATTTTGGCTGCATCTACGTCTAATTTCTGGAAACACCAGGTGAATACCCCACTTGTCACAATAACAACCTGATCTCACCAGAATGCGTGACTCCACCACGACTCCTTAACACTGCATTGCGTGGTGGAGTCACGAACTTTGTTACATTTACGTGTCTGCACCACGCAAACAACCCCAATGTAAAGTGAATGAGGCTCTTTTGTCGTGGTGCACACACGCATTTCTACAACGTCCTGCAGTGAGCTTTTATTCTATAAAACGTTTTTAAAATCTACTTTATAGCTTGTAGTAACTCGCGGGAGGCTTCTTTTATTTTATTTGTATTCATAATAATTTTTATTTTTCGTCAGAATGTATTATGGTGCATTATTTACAAATGTTTGTTCTCAAAAAACAGTGCATTGTGTGTAATACAACTGTGATTTTTATTAAATTAGTTAGTTTTTAAGGAAGGCCAGAGCTTCAGCTGTGTCCAATAGATTGTTCCCTTTTAGTTAACGTTTTTTAAAAGAACATTATATTCCGATTTGATCCTGTCCCCTTTATTGTATTACGGAGAGCAATGTGAGCGTCCATTCCCATTGGATAACGGAGGGTTTTACACCCGGAAGTAAGTATTCTCTTTACTGTCGATTGATTTTACAGTGATATCTGCACTTCTCATCAACTCAAAAACACCAGATTATCCTTGTTGATTACACAACATTGATTGGTGTAAATTGTGTACAATGCTTTTGTAATTTTCCCCTTCGATTCGGAGAAACAAATATTTGTTCAGTTTAGGATGGTCGAAGACACTACACTACCCAGAATCCTCAGCTATCGTTTGGGACTACACCATATGCTTTGCTTGACAAACCCCGTGGTTTGTCCTCAAGCTCTGTGATTGGATGTTGGAGTGGCAGTGCGTGAAGTTTACGCTGAGCGACAAACAGCATTTTTAAATGGAATGAAACCCATCGACGGCACACTATTCAAAACAGGAATCGAACGTCTCCTACCCCCCCCCCCCCCCCCTTAGGTCACAGGCTCCTCCAACAGTGCAACACAATAAAACAGATACACAGAAAAAAGTCTCTATACAAGTGATTGGAATATGATATATTAGACAAATCATTTCTGAGTAGCAGCCAGATTAATGCTAAGGATGTTATTTCAAAGTTCAGGTGTTTAATAGTCTTATGGCCTGTGGGATGAAACTGTCCCTGAATCTGGTGGTTTTAGTCCGGATGTAAGATAAGATAAGATGGTACTTTATTGATCCCAATTTGGGAAATTGTTTTTGTTGCAGCAGCATAAAAGACAAGGCATTTTACAATAAAACAAAACTACAAATAAACAAGAATAGAAAGAAAAGAAAATAGAAAATATACGTGTAGCGTCCCCAGCTGAATAATGGTCATACTCTCGAACTGATGGTATCCTTTTATTGTACACCCTTGAATGTATACATTACGTATCAACGTACCAACGTAAGAGCTAAGAAAATAAAGAAAACACAATAATTAGCCACCATCTCACAGATAAAACATCTCCATTTCTTGCATTTATAAACGTTACATTTCTAATATAAACTAAATAATGCAATTATAGCTCACTACTGCCCCCTAACTAACAGAGCAGAACGCATGTAGGCTAATATAGCAGTTTTGCTAATTCAAAAGCATGGACTCAAAACTCTGCAAAACTACGAAATAACACCACATAATATCAATACACATATTAATTAAAGTAATAACAAACCTTATAACTATCAAAATAAAAGTACAAAACTAAAACTTTACCACAGGAAAACATCGGCACACAAATATAACCACCTCTACAAAAGGTTAAACATATTAAAGGTAATTTACAATACGTGTTGAAATAGAAAATATACATGTAGATATTATATATGCAAATATACATATTAAAAAATATATGACAATGGAATATGGAATATCAAATATTGAACAGATTATATATGTGTAAAATGTACAGCGAGGTTGTATTACAAGAGAAACTATGGAGCAGAGAGTTCTCTTCCAGCCAGAGGTGATCTATTGTACAGAGTTATTGCAGTGGGCAGGAATGTGTTCCTGTATCGGTGCTTGTGATAGCGGAGCTGCAGCAGTCTGTTGGAGAAGGAGCTCCGTTGACTGTCCAGCTGCAGGTGGAGAGGATGGGTGGGTTATCCATGATGGACAACAGCCTGTTCAGTGTCCTCCTCTCCACCACAGCTTCAAAGGGGTCCAGCTTGATGCCGATGACAGACCCAGCTTTCCTGATCAGTTTATTGATCCTGCTGGTGTCACCGGCTCTGATGCTGCCCCCCCAGCAGACCGCAGCAAAGAAGAGCACACTGGCCACAACAGACTAGAAGATCTCCAGCATCTTGCTGCACACGTAAGGATCTCAGCTTCCTCAGAAAATAGAGTGTGTTCATCCCCTTCTTGTACACAGCGTCAGTGTTGATCCTCCAGTTCAGCCCATAAGTGCACTCCCAGGTACTATAGTCCTCCACAACAGCCACATCCTCTCCTAGAATGCGGCTGTTGTGCCAGACGGCAGCAGACAGAACAGTTTGTGGCTGATGGGGTGATGGGGGTCTTTTATAATCCTGAGGGCTTTCTTTAAGGTTAACCTGGTATTTTTACTCCACTACATTTATTTTAGTTACTTTACAGATTCTGATTAATGATGTGAAATATAAACAACCCTTAAAGCAGACTTTAGTTACACCTGAGTAAAATTCAGGGAAGGTGTCAAGTGCCAACAATCAGGAGAGATATTTGATTGGAGGACTGGCTTATCTAAAGCCAGTTGAGTAGCACTTGAAATGTGTTGGCTCTATGAAACCTGATGTACTTATATGATTCTGTTTTCTTCAAGCTTATATTTTGTTGGTCGAACGCACTTATTGTAAGTCGCTTTGGATAAAAGCGTCAGCTAAATGCAATGTAATGTACTGTAATGATTGTTGGTGCTTGAGAAGACTAAATATTTATCTGCAGATCCCTATAAAGTATATACATTACTCGTTATTCTCTACAAATAGTTAATTAAAAACTGTATATAATTGCTATTTTGGACATCCCTTTTCAAGATTTCAATATTACTCTAAACGTGTAATAACGTGCTTTAACCAGTAGGTGGTTTGGGTTAAAAAGCTGTCAAGTTTACAGTGTTAACAAAATAAAATATACTGCTGTTTCTGGTTTAGTTTACGACGGATATATTCTGTTATTGTTTTGATATTTGTAACACAAAAGCGATGGAAAAATCCCCACAGCAACACAGAAAAGATGGTCTTAACATGACCCAGCGGTCTAGTAGTTAATAAAAAACAATAATATCAAAACAAATTATTACTACTAACTTTATTGTGAAATTAAAACAGAACGGTAA